AGTTCATATTATGAAGGAAATCGTTGCACCTCACGACAGCAAGTGCTTCCAGGACTGCGTGTACCGGGACCGCCGTCTACAGAACTGCTTAGAGACGTTTACGGCAGGATGCAACGTTACCACAGAAGTGGTTTGTGGTGAGATTTCCTGATTCCCCAAGACAATAGCACATTTATGTTGAAACTGTTTTAAAATGAGGAAGATTCAGTGGTGAAGTTGCACCTTTAACTTTATGAAATGAAACCATATTGATGTTGTAACAGTTGAGGAACTCTAGAGACTGCAGGTAAGAGTCTCTTATCTAGAATCTCTAGAATCAGTAATTTCTGAATTCAGTCATTGGATTGTTTTCAGGTGTGACCTTCCTGCTTTAACATCCTGCTCATGTCGTCTTCAGGTCATCAGTCCGTTCGGCTGGAGGGACATGAGGATCAGTGTGCCGGGCGGGTGGAGGTATGGAAGGACGGGAACTGGGGCACGGTGTGTGACGACAGATGGGACCTGAGAGAAGCCAAGGTGGTTTGCGCCCAGCTGGGCTGTGGGACCGCTCTCAGGGTGACGGGTCAGAATGGATTGTTCCCTCCAGGGAGCGGACCGATTCACCTAGACGAGCTGAACTGCACTGGGAACGAGCAGAACCTGTGGTTCTGTCCGGGTGTCCAGGAAAACTCCGACTGCGGACACAAAGAGGACGCTGGTGTGGTGTGTTCAGGTCAGTCTGATGGAGTTCACCCTGCAGTCAGTGGATCGCTGGTTTGATTTCCGTTCTACAGCCTTTGTTTGTATTGTTGGCTCCTGCTGGTGTTGGTCAGAAAAACTGATGGTGCAACATTGCTGCCTTGCTCCTGTCAGTCTGCCCAGGGTAGCTGTAGCTTCAATCCAGTATCCACTATCACCAGCATGTGAACTGAAATCTATGCTGTACAGGTCAACTTGAAACTTTTCTCTTCCTGTTTTCCCTGCAGAATCTAAGGCGTTGTTTAGAATAACTACACCAGGTACGACTGAGTTGATGAATTTTCAGCAATTTCAGCTGAGTCTTTGAATCTTTTCATACATTTGATGTTTGTCTTTTGCTCCAGCTCCTCCATCAGCCGTTTATTCTCCAGAATATATCGCCATCATATTGCTGTCCATTCTAGAGTTTCTTTTTGCCATCCTCAACATTTTTCTCTGCTGCCGTTACTTCAAATGGCACCGTAGGTCCTCGCCTGGTAAACATCTGAATCTGTAGCAAATCTGTCATATCTGCAGTGAATCCAGCAGTAAAGTTTGTTCTAATATTGTTTGTAAAGATGAGCGAGGTGAGAAGAAGAGAGCAGACGCTGGTGTGAAGAACCAGGTGACTGTGAGTGTGTAGAATCCTGAAGATGGACCAAAGCTTGAAGAAGCACAGACTCCAACATCCTGATTATTGGTTTAGAAAACAAGTAATAAAAGGAATGTATATTAATAAACACTGTAAAAAATGTTGCATTATCATCAGGGGCATCAACCTGCCCCTGATCTTTGGGCCTAAAGAGGATGAAGATGATGATGATGGATGATGATGATGATGCAGGATTTCATGTATAATAAGTCTGGTGGGCCACCAGGCTACTTACTTGCACTCAACCACCGGGCTTAGCAAGTTTTCTGGGGCAAAAACTTGCTAAGCCCGCTGACAAGCACCTGGTGGCCAGGCTTAGCCCAAAGAGGAGACATGGGTCCCCCTTCCCATGTGCTGTGGGAGGGGCGAAGAGGGTTGGGTGCAGTGTAGGATGGGTGATGGCCTAGGGTGGGGGTCCTGACGATCTGTTCCTCGGCTGCAGATGCTGGATTTTGGGACGTGGAATGGCACCTCTCTGGTGGGGAAGGAGCCAGAGCTAGTGTGTGAGGCTGAGAGGTTCCACCTAGTAATGGTCGGCCTCACCTCGACGCATGGCTTGAGGTGCCATAACACCTCGAGCCATGTGTCCTTGAGAGGGGTTGGATATACTTCCACTCTAGAGTTGCCCCTGGTGAGAGTGGGCATACTTGTTGCCCCCCATCTCAGCGCCTGTACGTTGGGGTTTACCCTGGTGAACGAGAGGTAGCCTCCCTCCGCCTACGGGTGCGGGGATGAGTTCTGACTGTGTGTGCTTACGCACTGAACAACAGTTCAGATTATGCACCCTTTTTGGACTCCTTGGAGGGGATACTGGAGAGGTAAAGGAAGGTAATTTTATTTATATTGCACATTTTCAGCAACAAGGTAATATAAAGTGCTTTGACAGGAATTAAAAGGAAATACAAACAAAATAAACCAAAGGAAAGAGCAAAAGAAGAAAAATAATCTAATGTTGATCCTCCTGGGGACTCCCTTGTTCTACTGGGGGACTTCTACACTCACGTGGGCAATGACAGTGAGACCTGGAGGGGCGTGGTTGGGAGGAACGGCCCCCCTGATCTGAACTCGAGTGGTGTTCTGTTGTTGGACTTCTGTGCTCGTCACGTATTGTCCATAACGATCACCATGTTCAGGCATAAGGGTGTCCATATGTGCACTTGGCACCAGGACACCCTAGGCCGCAGTTCGATGATCGATTTTGTGATCGTTTCATCGGATCTGCGGCCGTATGTCTTGGACACTCGGGTGAAGAGAGGTGCGGAGCTGTCCACTGACCACTACCTGATGGTAAGTTGGCTCTGGTGGTGGGAGAGGAAGCTGGTCAGACCTGGCAGGCCCAAACGGGTAGTGAGGGTCTGCTGGCAATGTCTGGCGGAGTCCCCTGTGAGATGGAGCTTTAGCTCCCAGAACTTCAAACACGTTCCGGGGGATGTGGGGGACATTGAGTCTGAGTGGACCATGTTCCGTGCCTTCATTGTCGAGGCGGCTTATTGGTTCTCCGGGAGTATGAGGTACCGGGCCCTTTGATACGGGCTGTCAGGTCCCTGTACGACCGGTGTCAGAGTCTGGTCCGCATTGCCGGCAGTAAGTTGAGCTCGTTTCCGGTGAGAGTTGGACTCCGCCAAGGCTGCCCTTTGTCACCGATTCTGTTCATTACTTTTATGACCAGCCGAGGTGTTGAGGGGATCCATTTTGGTGGCCTTAGGATCGCATCTCTGCTTTTTGCGGATGATGTGGTCCTGTTGGCTTCACCACGTCGTGATCTGCAGCTCTCACTGGAGCGGTTCGCGGCCGAGTGTGAAGCGGCAGGGTTGAGGCTCAGTGCCTCCAAATCCGAGGCCATGGTCTTGAACCGGAAAAGGGTAGAGTGCCTTCTCCGGGTTTAAGTATCTCAGGATCTTGTTCACGAATGAGGGAAGAGGGGAGCAGGAGATCGACACGCAGATTGCCGCAGTGTCTACAGGGAAGCGGGCGCTGCACCGGTCCGTTGTGGTGAAGAGAGAGCTGAGTCTAAAAGTGAAGCTCTCGATTTACCGGTCGATCTACGTTCCTATTTTCATTTACAGTCATGAGCTTTGGGTCATGACTGAAAGAATGAGGTTGCGGATACAGGCGACAAGTTTTCTCCGTAGGGTGTCTAGGCTCTCCCGTAGAGATAGGATGAGAAACTCGGTCATCCGGGAGGGACTCAGAGTAGAGCCGCTGCTCCTCCATGTCGAAAGAAGCCACCTGAGGTGGTTCAGGGGTCTGGTCAGGATGCCTGAGCCACCTCAGGTGGGACCTGATGAGTTCAGGTCTTACCAGTAGGATGGGAAGACCCAGGACACCCTGGAAGGGACCATGTCTCTCGGCTGGCCTGGGAACGCCTTGGGATTCCCCTGGAGGAGCTGGAACAGAGGCTGAGGAGAGGGAAGTCTGGGCCTCCTTACTTAGGCTGCTAGCCCTGCGACCTGACCCCGGATAAAGGGAAGAAGATGGATGGATGGATTGGTGGTGGTGATGATGATGATGGATGAAGGAGAAACTGTTTTTGTCCAACCAGCTGCTGTGGAAAACGTTTCCATTCTCTTACATAGGAGAGTCCGACGAGAGGGTCCGACCAGAGGGTCTCCGACCAGAGGGTCTCCGACCCTCTGGTGTTAATCTACACATCAAATCCCGTCCTGTCAGATTAACAGAACATATCTGACAGGTTTCCTCCAAGCATTCATGTTTTCTGTCAGGAGTTACACGTGTAACAGAGACAGTTTTCCTGTCCCTCAGCGTCTGACCCCATCAGACACACAGTGAGTTTTGGTGAAACATTAAATCCCTGCTCTCACTACTGAAGGCATTTCCTCCAGAGAGGAAACCATTTTCCCAAAATAACTCAGCCAAAGGTGGGAAATGCTTTGAATGCAGCAGATGTGAAATGAGCAAATGTTTCCCTTTATGTGCCTAACGTCTCTAATTCAGAAATACCAGTCAGCAAACTGCCAGAAGTGGAATAACCAATAAAGCCACGTTTCAAGAAACCAAAGGAACATTGTCACTTGCATAACTGGCTTGTATAGGCTTGTGTGTTGAATTTCTCTTTCTGTCTTTAGGTCTGGCCCATGTTAACAGGTTGGAGCTGTTTCTGCATTTCTTCCTGAACTGAAAACTGTTCATTTGTTTCATCCTCACTTAACTGTTCTTCATCGTCAAGCCAATCGTCCAGATTGCTGCAATCTCTCTTTTTCTTACTCTAGTCAGTTGCCAACAAGAGCAACACGAGGATCATCAGGTGGATCCAGCTCCAGCTGTACGACTGCAGTCACTGGATCTGCTTATCCTGGCGTCGGTCCTGACCCAGTAAAATAGCTTGCAGTACCTGCTAGTAGGACATAGGGGGCGCTTACTTATTTCATTTAAAAGTGTCTCTGGATTGGACCCAGGGGAACTCCACGTCATGTTTTTACATTCCTGAACTAACCCTCCTCAGCATAAAAGCAGAAAACACATTTTACTTGTGTTATGTTTCTCCTCCACTGAGTCAGCTGCTGCTGGGGCGAGTCCAGCAATCAGAAATCTAGTCGGAACCATCCAAAGTGGTTCTGACTGCCTGAACGGCTGAGTTTGACTCAGTCATAATGTCAACCAACAACTTTATTCACAAAACAGGAAATGAAGACAATGTTTTTAATCTTTTTTTCTCCTTTATTTCTGCAAATGTTCCTGCAGTTTCAGTTAAAATCATGTTTCTGTGGTTTTCTTATAGTTTTAAATGATTTTATTTTTCATGCTCAGCCGTTTTTGAAAGCAGAAGAAGAGAGTTGGAGCCTCTGATGTTTCACTTCCTGCTGCGATGCAGAGTTCAGTCTGAGAAGAAGAAGAAGAGGTTCATGTGGAGGATCACCTCCTCGCTGTGACACCAAGATGAAGCTGCTTCAGTTCCTCTTCATCCTCCAGCTGAGCTCGCTCTCTCCAGGTAAACTTTACATTCACAGGCTGAAAGGCAGAGCTGGAAACAGCAGGACTGCAGCTGTTACCTCCAGATGAAGATGTTACTTTGAGCTTCAAGTCTGTTTTATTGCTGATTGTAACCCAGATGGATTTTTCTGGATGTTCATCTGGTCTCAGCTCTTCGTCTTCATTGTGTTTTTTCTGTATTTGGAATAAGTTTCCTTATAATTAAAGCATTAGAGACGTTTATTTGTTTCCAAATACCAACGTCTAATTTCAGTCTTTCCTTCCAGGGTTTTTATTTCTGGACAAATTAACTTTTTACAGTCTGCTTTCAATGCAGTTCAAACTGGTTTCCAGACTGGGAAGCTGGTTCTGAATCTGGACAAGACGAAAGCCATCGATCTGTTGCTCTCCAGCTTCACAAACCGATTCTAAAAATCTGGGTTTTATTTTAGGGTTTCCTTTTTAACGCACACAGAAAATGAAGGTCGTGTTTTTGATGGATCCTGATCGTCTGTCAGAAGGAACTTGGTGTCAGCAGCGTTCTGATGGATCATGAGATGTTTTGAATGTGAATGCTTCACCAAACCTCTCTTTGTGCTGTCAGGTTTGGACTAGGCCGCTCGCAGCGTCTCAACGTCTCTTGTAGAAAAAACCATCACTTGATGATCCAGGTTTATAAAAGTGGGCTGCAGCTGGTTTAACTCCCTGTTGCTGCCCGTTCTTTACGCTGCTGCAGGTTCTTGGTGTTGGGCAGAGAAAGGGAAGCGAGGATTCAGAGATGGAATCGGCTCCTCATCGCATTTCTTTGGATTTTATCGAGCGCTACTTAGAAACGTGATTCTACCACTGCTTTTAAAACGTTTCTAACTTGTTTTAAAGTCGAGCGAATGTTTTGGTTCAGTTTTCTTTTGTGTAGCCAGGTTGTTGTGTTGTATGTTGCTCGGGTCTCTCTTGAAAATGAGATCTAGATCTTAGTGGAGTTTTAAACAATGAAAAATCAAAACTAAAGATATTTAAAGGTGGAGGTGAGGCAGCTCTGATAGTTTCCCTCCATCGACTGCAAACTGAATCCTGTTGTACATATTCTGTGTTTCTGCAGCTTGTTGCTTCACAATGCTGCTCTTAAATTAAAAACTAAACTCCCTTTATTCATCATTTCAGCTCTTCTTGATGCTTCCACTCCAGATGCTGGGGTCCAAGTGCCACCTGAAGACATGGACGGTGAGTAAGACGTTGATCTGCAGCCTTTCCTCCCGACAGAGAGCCAAACTCATGTCCTGCTGTTCTGGTGCCGGTGGTTCGGCCCGCATCAGGCGCAGCAGCATGCAGTGTGATGCTGCGGCGGTGGCAGGATGTGGGGTGACCTGCTGAGGAAGTGCCTCTGGGCGATGCAGCAGCTGCAGCGCTCCCACGCAGGCTGGCGTCAAACACGCTGCAGTTATTGAGACAAACAGGTTCAGCCTCAGATCCTCACTTTACCCGCAGAATCACAGGAAGGGAAACACACCACTACAGGAAAGGGAGCAGAATCGCACTCTGACAAGAAAACCTAAATGTTCTGTCACGGTTTTCTAAAGTGTGGAGGAGAATCATGAGCAGTGAAATGTTTTCACAAAGTAGTTAATCAAATACAGAATATAACTCAAAATGTGTATTTGCATGCTTGTCTTAATATTGTTAGGCTTCAAAGTTCAACCACTTATTTTGTGTTTTCTTGTATTTTTCTGAAATCCGACCATCTTGATGCTTGATGTGCTGCCTGTGATTGGCAGATATATATATGTATATATTTTCTAACACCTGGTCCCTAGTGGGTCAGGAGCTGCTGCTGCATCTCCAGCTAACGTTCCAGGCAAGAGGCGGGTCACTTGGACAACACACACACACACACACCCCTAAGGAGAATTTAGAGAAACCAATTAACCTGACAGTCATGTTTTTGGACTGAGGGAGGAAGAAGGAGAACCGGAGAGAACATGCAAAGACCCAGCCTGGGAATCTTGGAGGGGTGTGTGTGTGTGTGTGTGTGTGTGGGTGTGTGTGTGTGTGTGTGTGTGTGTGAGCATTCAGAGCGGCCACAGATTGTGAGAATTAAAGTCCCACAGTCTTTCTTGGTTCTGTCGGATCCATGTTCTCTGCAGTGTTTCTGCTCTTTGGTTGGTGGCAGAAATGCGACGGCCTGCAGTCGGAGTGAAGCTGAAAGGTGCGGCTGAACCGTCTCACCAGCCGCCTCCATCAGATGGAAGCAGGACTTATTTTTAGTTTCTCGCTGCAGCTCCTTCTTCCTTCTGGATGTTTCTGTTATTCCTGAGAAAAGTTTTTCTCAGCTCCAGCTGTCGGCCCGTTTCCCTCAGGATGGATTTTATTCCTTATCGATTGGTTTTTCTCTTGAGCCCATCAGGTCAGAGGTCAGTGTAACTTCAGCATCTATGTGGGTTTAAGTCCTCCAACAATCAGTTTTCATTTGACTTTAAGGATAAATTAATGCTTGTTTTATCACTTTTATCTAATTTTATTTTTGAAATTAGACTAAATTTGTAATATTATGAGAATAAAGTAGAGATTTAACTCCTACACAGTCAGTCAGTTCTGTGTTAAACCCAGTGAAGTTCCACTTTTATAATGAAGCAAATCGACTGTCTGTATCAGAACCCGGCTGACCGGGCCGCTCAGCAGGTGGTCAGAGCGGCCCGGCTGGCCCGAGGTTCTAACTTTCCTCTGCTCACCGACTTTGTTCTCAAAGTTTAAAACCATTCCCTTCGCTTGATGCTGATACTCCGTCAGAGAGGAGTGTCATTGCTTTTCTGATTAATCAATAAATATACACAATATGGTCAAAAGTTTAAAACATGATTGTTCCAGTTTGCTGTTGCAGTACCAGCTGTTGAAGTCCAGTGAATTCATGATAATAACCATAAATGGTGCTGGGGTGAGGAAAGAGCTGCAGAGGTTAAAGGTTAAAATAACAAACGTTTCAGAATCACACAGACGATGGAGGCTGACCAAGCCTTGACTGCTGGGCCCAAAGGTTCTGGATTACTACCAGAACCATCTGAGTAGAAGCGGTGTTGGAGAAACGCTGAGCAGCATTCAAAGGCTCTGCAGGAAACAGACGATTAACAGAGACGTGTGTAAAAAGGATCTGCACAGAAAGTTAGTCTCCTTCTCCTCTGGTAGAGGTCCGTCCGTCCGGTAGAGGTCCGTCCATCTGTCCTCTGATCTGATCTGACCTCTGATCACAGCGTCTTCCTGCATCGTTTCCACTGCTGTGTCTCTGAGGTCGTGACCTTTAGTTGATCAGCGCCAAGTATCTGAACCACAAGCTTTGCTGCCAGTTAGGATAACCGCACATGTTCTGCAGCTCTGCTGAGACTATTTAACATCATCATCTGTTTATCATGCTACGCCGATGACGCTCTGTTCTATGTTTCTAAAATCCTTCAGGTTGCTGCAGATTTCTGTCCAGATTTGTTCCTCAGTGGATGATGTTTGAGTATCTTCTCAGTTTTCATCCTCTGCTCTGTGACCCTCTGTGCCCTCAGACGACCCTTACGTTCATCACCTCGGCAGCACATGCAGGTGGACTCTCAGGATGCCTGGGAACAGGAGTGGGGAGGCGGTTCCACTCCCACCGGACTATTTAGACACTCTGGCTGAGTGGATCTGCCAGGACCTGAAATGCGGAAGAGTTCATATTATGAAGGAAATCGTTGCACCTCACGACAGCAAGTGCTTCCAGGACTGCGTGTACCGGGACGGCCGTCTGCAGAGCTGCTTGGAGACGTCTACTCCAGGATGCATCGTGCTCACAGACGTGGTTTGTGGTGAGACTTTTCTGATTCTTCAGGAAAACAAACAGTGGTGGAGGCCTGACGGTTTGGCATTTTGCTGATTGCCATCATCAAAGTCATCGGTAAACATCAAACTCGCCCTGTGAAAGTATTCGGCCTCCTTGAACTTTTCAACCTTCTGCCACTTTTCAGGCTTTGAACATAAAGATCTAAAACTTTTATTATTTTGTGAAGAATCAACAAGTGGGACACAATCAAGAGGTGGAACAAAGTTTATTGGATATTTTAAACTTTAACAAATTAAAATCCTACAGAGTGTGGTGTGTAATATCATTGGCCCCCTTGCATTAACACTCTGTAGCGCCACCTTGTGGTGTGATTACAGCTGCCATTGTTTGGTTTTGTCTCCATCAGTTTCGCCCATTCTTCCTTAAAACAGGAAGAATGAGGTTGGATGGAGAGTGAACAGCAGCTTTCAGCTCTTCCCACAGATTCTCCATTGGATTCAGGTCTGGACTTTGACTAGGCCATTCTAACACCTGGATACGTTTATTTGTGAACCGTTCCATCATGTTTGGGATCTTTGTCTTGTTGAAGGTAAATCTCCGTCCCAGTCTCAGGTCTTTGCAGGTTTTCTTCCAGAACGGTTCTGTTTTCGGCTCCATCCGTCTTCCATCAATGTTTTCCATCTTCTCTGTCCCTGCTGAAGAAAAGCAGCCCAAACCATGATGCTGCCACCGCCATGTCTGGCAGTGGGGATGGTGTGTTCAGGGTGATGAGCTGTGTTGCTTTTATGCCAATCATATCTGACCAGAGCTCCTTCTTCCACATGTTTGTGTCTCCCAGGTGCTTGTGGGAAACTTTAAACCAGATTTTTATGGCTTTCTTCTTCTGGCCAGATTTATCCACTGTCCCACTGACTGTTGTCCTATGGACAGACTCTCCCACCTGAGCTGTAGATCTCTGCAGTTCATCCAGAGTGATCCTGGGCCTGTTGGCTGCATGTCTGATCAGTCTTCTCCTTGTTCCAGATGAAGGTTTAGAGCAGTGGTCCCCAAACTACGGCCCGCTGGCCGGATCCGGCCCGCCTCCACACTTGGTGCGGCCCCCTGAACAATACCAGAGAGCATTCAGAGTTTTTTCATATACCGTATTTCTGGACTATAAGCCGCTATTTTTTTCCCTAAGCTTTGAACCATGCAGCTTACAGCCCGGTGCGGCTTATATGTGGATTTTTCTTCAACCACCAGGGGGCTCTTTAGCAGGAAGTGAATCATTGGAAGTCAGAATTGGAAATAAAAGAAGAAAGCGCCATTAAAACAGAATTAGGTTTTAATAGGGAATTAAAATTTGAGAATGTTGTTGATCAGTTAAATAGCATTGAGGGGAAAAAGAAGATTTTTAGTTTTTTTTTTAAATACTGGGATAATTATGAGAATTTGAGGTATAGATATTAGGATCCAGTAGATGGCAGTAGTGCAACAATAATGGATGCAAGCTGCTGTTGAAATCTAAAGAAGAAGAAGGAAGCACCCATTTTCATTTAGCACATGCTAGTAGCAACATGAAGGATCAGCACTTTTACTGTTAGTTACTGTTCAGAAACTACCGTAATCAGTTCAGTTAAATCTAAACTTGGCAACTTTTTCTTTTTCAACCGTAATAAATGTGATATTCAATTGCCCTTTTATGACTCAGATTTTGGCTGTCCGCCCCTCTGCTGCATCGCTGTGGAAAACCTGGAGCGGCAGAGAAATCTGTGGTTTATATGTGTATGTTTAGTGTTTTTTAAAAAAAACTTTGGGGTTGCGGCTTATAGTCTGGAAAATACGGTATTTATTTCATAAATAGTGTTATTTCCTGGATTTATTCTGTGAAGAACCCAGAGAGGGTTATTTGATTGTGCTTTCTGGAAAACAAGAAATTTTTACATGTAGGCTCCTGCAGTCGTCTCACTGTTTCTGTTACAAACTGACTTTGGGCTCCAGCAGAGAAGGGGAAAGTTATGTGGCCCTCAGAGGAAAAGTTTGGGGACCCCTGGATTAGAGGGATGGCCGGGTCTGGGTAGATTTGGTCTGATGCTCCTTCCATTTCAACATGATCGCTGCTCAGAGCTCCTTCAGATGTTTAAAGCTCCTTTTGCATCCAAAACCGGCTTTAGTCTTCTGGGCCCTGCCTGCTGTGGGTCCTTGGCCTCCATGATTCTCTCTGCGCTTTAAACACAACCAGAGACGATCACAGAGCAGGTGCATTTATACGGGCCTCGATTACACACAGGTGGATTCTGTTCATCATCATTAGGACAACGTTGGATCATTCAGAGACCCAAACTGAACGGCTGGACTGAGTTTGCTGCACTGACGGTAAAGGAGCCCAATCATATTACACGCCACACTTTGCAGTTTTTTATTTGTTAAAAAAGTTTAAAATATCCAATAAACTTTGTTCCACCTCTTGATTGTGTCCCACGTGTTGATTCTTCGTAAAATAATAAAATCTTTATGTTTGAAGCCTGAAAAGCGGCAAAAAGTTGAAAAGTTCAAGGAGGCTGAACGGCTCTGTGACAGATCTATGTTCCATTTATTACGTTTCAAAAGTAACTGAACATTTGGGCTTTAAGCCTTAAAGGCATTCAGTGTTTCAGCTGATCTTCAGTTTTCTGCAAGTTTGTTCCAGATCTGTGGTGCATAGAACCTGAATGCAGCTTCTCCATGTTTGGTTCTGGTTGCAGAACCAGAACCAGAACCAGAGGGGTCTGAAGGTTGATGCAACAGCAGATTAGTATTTTTTCCAAATGTTCTTTAGCTGATAGAAGGCTGACTTTGTAATGGCCTTTATGTGGCTCAGATGGTTCAGGTCAGAGGTCAACCTGATCTCTATTTTCCAGCTGGAACAACAGAAGCTATGTGTTGACTCTAGATCTGTCACTCTAGATCTGTCACCGTCAGGGGGGCATTTCTCCACGGAAACTTTACCGGACACAACCTTCGCTTTACTGGGATCAATGATGTCTGAATTCAGTCATTGGATTGTTTTCAGGTGTGACCTTCCTGCTTTAACATCCTGCTCATGTCGTCTTCAGGTCATCAGTCCGTTCGGCTGGAGGGACATGAGGATCAGTGTGCCGGGCGGGTGGAGGTATGGAAGGACGGGAACTGGGGCACGGTGTGTGACGACAGATGGGACCTGAGAGAAGCCAAGGTGGTTTGCGCCCAGCTGGGCTGTGGGACCGCTCTCAGGGTGACGGGTCAGAATGGATTGTTCCCTCCAGGGAGCGGACCGATTCACCTAGACGAGCTGAACTGCACTGGGAACGAGCAGAACCTGTGGTTCTGTCCGGGTGTCCAGGAAAACTCCGACTGCGGACACAAAGAGGACGCTGGTGTGGTGTGTTCAGGTCAGTCTCCATCAAACATCTGGTCTGTTGGACATGAACTGTCCAAGCTGACGTCTGTCTCTGCCAGTGTCCACATTTGGACACAAACTCGTCTTGAGGATGCGGTGATGAGGCTTATTTGGAGGAGCTGCAATCATTTGAAATGTTTTTCACAAAATGAATGAAAACTAAAGATCAGGGCCGTGCAAAAAACTTTTTTCTCACATGACGTCGTGGGCGGGGCCTAAAATCACTACAAATGCAAATAAAAGTTTATGTTTGGCAAATAACTTTTTAAGTTCACGAGACAAAAATGAGTTATTTAATTTAGAAAAAAGATTTTTAAACAAAATGTTTTGCTTTTAAAAAAGAAATAATTACAATTCCAAAACTTTTGATTACAATTTTATTTTACTTAATTGAGGTTCGTTTTTTTTCATTGAATAATTGGGAAAAAATAAATAAATAACTTCATACTCTGTGAACCAGACCCTAAACTTAAAGTCTGGTTGAGTTTTTTCCTTCATTAATGACTTTTATTACATACATTATATCTATCATGGTAGTTCAGGTGAGTTATTTTTAATTCTAAATGAATATCCTTGTTGGATTTTATTTAAGTGCTATTCTCCTTCAAGCTACATTTACCTAACGCCAGAATTAATGCAATGTACTTTATGCAGCAAAGGAAATTAGACATATATCCATTATGGAGATGATCGGTTTTGGACGGGCGATGTGCCCCTATTGCATAAGCGATACTGAAGAATGACTGATATCATTAACGATACAGGGAAGAAGCTTTTTGTTATCTAGCTTTGCTAGCAGAGTCGTTAGCTAGCAGCTAGCTAATAGCACAACAACAACAGCCTGTATGATAAAAATCCTGAATGATAGATAAGAACAGTTTCTCCTCACCTGGCTGTCTCCTCCCCTCAGTAGTTCTTCAGAGAAAGGCAGACAGAGGCCTGTCAGTGTCTGTTGTATTTCATTTCCTCTCTGCTTAAACCGCTGAAGCAGAAACGAGACTTCAACGTTTTCTGTCATCTGACCAGCAGCAGGTCTGCTCCACTTTATTCACCAAAACGTTTTAATTCACCAGAAACTGATCTGTAATCTGAACGTTCGCTACGTTCAGCTCCAGTTAGCCGCCTTATCTCACTGTGGAGAGGCAACTGGGTCACGGGCAAAAGGTCAAAGGTAACAAGGTGACCGGAAGGCTTATTATGTTGTAGAAAAAAACAAAACAATAATTTTAGTACATGTTATTATGTCAGAAGAGGGCTTAGGAAATAATACAGCAATAAATAAATAAATTGACCAAAAGGGCCCTTGGGGGCAAGGAGCAAAAGGGGCAGGTGCTCAAGCCCCCCTAGCCCCCCCCCTCCCTCAAAAGATACAAAAATATCAACAAGGCTCAAAGTTAAATTCCCATCTGATTCCACTTCCATTCCCCCAACCATCTTGCCATCATCAAACCATGCTACCATCAAATTATCAAACCATCCTACCATCAAACCATGCTACCATAAAATTATCAAACCATCCTACCATCAAATTATCAAACCATCCTACCATCAAACCATGCTACCATCAAATGATCAAACCATCCTACCTGTCTTTTCTCCATTTGTTTTAATGTTATTTTTGGATCCTTTCACCTTAAACCAGCAGTTTCTGTGTGTTTGCTTCAAGTAATAAAGAATCTGAAATATTTGACCTTAAACCTAAACATTATGGATTAGCTTGAATCTTTTCTTTTCCTGTTTTCCCTGCAGATTCGAAGGCGTTTTTTGGAGTAGCCACAGAAGGTGTGACTGAGTTGATGACCACAGGTGAACATTTAAGAGTTGAATTTATTTCTTAAAAGAGATCAATGGACTTTCAGGAGTGTGACTGAGTGAACCTGAACCTCTGATGTCCGTCCGTTGCTCCAGCTCGTCTTGCCGGCGCTCCGTCGCCTGAACATCTCAGCATCGTGGTTCTGGCTCTTGGACTGCTCGTTTTTGCCAGCCTGAGTTTGGTTCTCTGCTGCCTTTACAGGCGACAGCACGGTAGGTCCTCCTCTCCTAAAGGTCGAATCTGCAGCAAATCTAGCAGTAAAGTTGCTTTTAACATCATTAGCAAAGTTGAGATCGGTGAGGACAACGGAGCAGACGGTTTGAACAACCTGCGGACGATGAGGAGGAGACGATGAAGATGGACCAAAGCTTGAAGACGTGTCGGCTCTAAAATACTGATTATTGTCAGTGATTTATTAAACAGAAAAACCCATTTATTTATGAATGATTTATTCTAAATGGAATGTATCTAGTGAAAATAGAAGTACTCTGGTGATGGTGGATCAGCGTTTCCTCCTGATGATCTGCTGAATGTCAGACTTTCTGAAAGCTTTGATTTCCTTAAATATCTGGATTTCTCCATTTTGTCCTCCTGAGTTTTTGTTTTTCTGAAATCTCGTCTTTGGTTTGTGTGCAGTGTTTCTCCTGCAGCAGACTCGCTCCAAGCAGACGGCGCCCAGCGATCCTCCTCTGAACCTCTACAAGGTGAACCAGAACCTGGTGAGAGCCGGTCCCGCCCCGCTGCAGACCGTCGGTGAGTCCGGAGCGTCTCCGACCAGCAGCTGCTGCAGCCACCTGCTGCAGTCCTGCACAGTGACGGCCAGACCGTGGAGTCGATTCATTCATGTTTCTGTCTCAAAGTCCCGTCCGACTCCAGGACCGTGTGGAGCCAGATCAGGAGAGCGGACGGCGCGTCAGGAGACCCAGACCGTGAGCCGTCTGCCAGGATGTCCACCTTTCACAGTGAGACAACTTCCTGTTTCCTGCTCTGCTTTTGTCTCTGGCCGTTTGCTTCATGATAATTCTGCATGTCTGCGGTTTGGAGCTGTGCTGCACTTTGTGTCAGCCTCTGCAGACTGATGCAGTGAAACTGCTGCAGGCTTCGTGATCAGACTGATGCAGCCTGCACTTCTCTGCAGATTCTCAAAGATACAGAACAGACCTGAAGCCGCCAGCGAAGCCTTCAGCCCTGAGGGGCCTGAGTGAGGAAGGTGAGTCAGTCTGCAGGACCGAGTGCATCTCAGCAAGCTGCTGCGGCGTCTCAGCAAGCTGCTGCGGCGTCTCCACCAAGCTGCTGCGGCGTCTCAGCAAGCTGCTGCGGCGTCTCCACCAAGCTGCTGCGGCGTCTCAGCAAGCTGCTGCGGCGTCTCAGCAAGCTGCTGCGGCGTCTCAGCAAGCTGCTGCGGCGTCTCCACCAGAATTACTTTACGAAAAAAAAATATATACTTAATTTGGCCCGGACCTAAGTGTTTAGTTTGCTAACTAAATATTTAATCTGAAATAAATATTTAGTTAGCAAACCAAATTCAGACTAAATATTTGACCCCCTAGGGAACGGACGCTGCTTCCTGGTTTTAACCATAAACATGAACATGTAGACGCCTCATGGGGCGGGTCATAGGTCATGGGGCGGGTCGGCCCGTTGCTGCGATACGTAACAGCTTCCGCCATATTGAATGTGGCATCTCTGCCAGTAAGCTA